TCAAAATCTCTCTTACTTATTTCTTTGTGTAATAAAATGTTATCATTACTTTGAGACTTTTAAGGAAGATACTACACAAAGTTGTTGTAATATTGCAACTGATTCAACAATCCTGGGGCCTGATGGTTAGGTCACTTGACTCGCAATCTGCAGGTCACGGATTCGAATCTTTTCACCAAACATGCTCGCTCTTTCAGCCATAGGGTCGTAATAAGGAGATGGCTTATTTCATTATTCGTTGGTAAAGAGAGCTGTCGTTGACTAGCTGCTTTCCCTTTAATATATCACTTCAAAATTAGGGACGGCTAGCGTCGATAGACCTTGAGTAGCTTTTCACGAAATTCAACAAATAAACAATAAGCATGAAAAATATTCCAGTATAAATTTTCATCTGTCGGTATTCGAACAATCTTCGTATTTTATTTATTTCATCACTATTAAACGTATAAAATCACTTTCAAGTTCTGAAACTTTTTCTTATTGTTTTGAAGGTTCTCGAGTATAATATAAATTTCAATGTATGATAACACGCATAAGACTCTGTAAAGTGCTTAGGAATAGGAATTTTCAAAATGAACGACACATTATACATATACTTGTGGGCTAAATGGCTAGATCAGATACTTCTGGGCTCAGGCACACTATCCCTAATTTTGAACTATTGACCTGCAGCGGAAGGTCAACCAGCCAGAAGAGCACCGTCCAGCTATTTGAATGGAACCACTTTCATAACGTGCCCACAGCCGAGAAGGTGGATCGTGTTCAGCATTATTACGTCTCGAACCTCAGACCGTATGATCCGTAACCCGACACGCTAACCATTAGGTCATGCACGGATCGAGGGTGTGGTAAGGAAATGTTTTATGATGTAGCTCAGGAAATTTTGAAAGTCTGCAAACGTACAGACTAACAGAATATGCAATTTGTCACACTTTATATACGGTGTGATTTATGTTTATCTGTTACTTCTATTTTTATGCACAAAACATGTTTCTACATGATTTATGACTGTTTTTTGAATACAAATAAAACATGTATATTTAAAAACTATCTGCACCGACTCTCGCACTTTATGGACTTGTACAATTTGGGTGCTTGGGTTTGTATTTTTTTTTTATTGAATTGGACATCGAGCTTCCATGATAACTTAACTTATACATTGTCTGGTCACTTTATCTGGACTCACAACTAATATCGGATTCGAACATCCTTCTCCTTGAATGTAGATCATTTGTTGAGGAGCATGGTCTGCAAGACATTCACAGATGTTGGTAGAAGATTACAATGGCCAATGTGATGTTCAACCAAACATGCTCAATCAGACTGAGATCTAGGGACTGTGCTGGTCAAGAGCGAGGAAGTCACCATTTCACGGACATAATGTTGTTGACATTGTTTATTTTGTTGTTATTTATTTGCGCAAATCTACATAATGGGTTATCAGTGTTCCGTCCACTGAGAGGAATCAAACCCTGGATTTTAGCATTATAAATCCGGAAATTTACCACTGTCTTACCAATGAACTACGGACATAAAGCATACGGTCTACAACCTCATTATCGGCTTGGAAGAACACTTGTCCATTGCAGTATTGTGGGGTTGAACTTCATCGGTAACAATCCTTAACTACATTCTGGATGTTATTTGCCCATTTATTAAAAGCATAGATCAGCCCAAGCCCTACCATGAAAACGTTTCTTCCACCACTTTATTATCTCTAGTCGGTTACTATGTCGTATAAAAACAAACATGCATTTTTCTCTATATTTTTAGTTTAATTTCAGTTCAGAAAATGTGGAACACAACTCAGACCATACGCTTCTAGTCAATTTAGCCATAGTTTGCACTCTAAGTATCATCGCAATTTTACTTTCTCAGTTCACGTTTGAGATAAGCTGTATTTAGAATAATTTGTCGGCTGCCATATAATAGAGATGCCCCAGTTGTGATTATTAGAGAAGAAAGTGTTCAATTAAAACAGGTTCTGACTTTATACGTTTGTTACAGGTTCTGACTTTATACGTTTGTTACAGGTTCTGACTTTATACGTTTGTTACAGGTTCTGACTTTATACGTTTGTTACAGGTTCATCAGAACCTGTTACAAACGTATAAAGTCAGAACCTGTAACAAACGTATAAAGTCATTTATACGTTTGTTACAGGTTCTGACTTTATACGTTTGTTACAGGTTCTGACTTTATACGTTTGTTACAGGTTCTGACTTTATACGTTTGTTACAGGTTCTGACTTTATACGTTTGTTACAGGTTCTGACTTTATACGTTTGTTTAATCATCTTTTTTTGTATTTCTCCTCCTCTCTTTTTCTTTTCTGGACGTTCTTTTACGCAGACATGGTCATCGTCTCACAACCAGCCCATACCGATAGCTATCTAGATTTCAAATCTAACCAGTTATAATCTGTTAAAGGAAACATTATAAATTATCTGTTTGATCGGGGCTCTAAGATTTGTAACAGCAACCAATACCCGACGGAGAAAAAACGTTTGTACAAACTCCTCTAATCAGATGGTTACTCCATCAGTTTCATCCGATCACAGAAGAGAAAAGAAAACCAATCACTTCGAAATCTACACATTCAGTCCCAGAAAACTGCAGTTTTGCCTTTATACCAAAAAGTTATAAATTCAAAACAATTTTTGAAAACTTTAACTTCAAAGTGTATTTTATATTCGACAAGACATTAAGAAGTGGTCTTACAAAAATAAAAAAACCTGCAAGTAAAGATGAACTGATCAAACCTATCTACAAAATACCTTGTTTTTTTTGTGTGAAAAAGCCTACATATAGGAGAAACAGGTAGAACTACTAAACAACTAGCCAGAGAACATCAAGATACCACCAGGCGTCTTTATCTGGAAAAAATCCACCTTAACTGACCACAGTTGTATCATAGATCACATTATCAAATAGAACCAACTCCAAATACTAGACGCTGAGAAACACTGTAAACAAGAGAACTCAAAGAAGCTTTATACATAAGACTCATCAACGAGCTTTGAACCATGATCAAAGCTTAGATTTTAACAAAATGTGGATCCCCTTCTTGTTACAAAACCATAAAATCTATGTCCATACAGAGTGAAGGATTTTTTTGTATTAGCGCAAAGCTACACAATGGGCTATTTGGGGTCCACCGAGAAGAATCAGATCCTCGATTTTGCAATGTAAGTAGGCAAACTTATAGCTGACCCATCGGGCGACCCACATAGCTTAAAATCCCGGTCAATTATGATGATGTCACAACACAAGTCAAACAACCTGAATAATTTGAACTGATTAACATCTGCGCTAGCAACTCTAAACATCATTCAAAACTTCCTAGACAAATTCAGTTCCTCAACAACGCTCTCTATTTTTATCTCTATTACCAGTAATTGACGGTCACAGTTTTTCCTAGAGGCAGAATATTCTAACTGGGGTCTCCACTGTTAATAGAACCTGGTGACATTGGTCTGAGAACAGCCGGACAGAAAAACAGTATTTAATAACGACGCTCCCCCTAGAGGACCAACCTTTAATAATACTCTTTTTAAAAATCGGAAAGGCTCCCGATCTTATCACTTGTCTTGCATAGCAACCATGATACTTACATCTCTGCTGTTAAGGAAATCATACAATCACCTGATACATCACATGATCAGATTTCTGTGTGTATGCACCTAAATGGAGTGTTATAATATGTCTATATAGGAGGGGATGGTCTTGATAGAATGACAGATCTGTCTAGTTAACTTCGAACATAAACATAGATTCTCATATGCTACATCGAGAAAATAGACTAATATTTTTGGAAAACTTAATTTAAAAGTTCATAGAAAAATTATATTTCTGCAAAAACGTTTAAATTGCTTTCAAATCTACAAAATGACGGCTTGAGCTACTTATCTTATCAAGTTGCAATATCTTAGTAATTGTTAGTTTGTATTGGTCTACCGGCAAGTCTAAACAGGTTATACCTCTCGCAATTTGTATAATATACAAGCAAAAATACCCGTCCTCAGTGACGGGAAAAGTTTAAGTTAATCTATAAGTTGAAATTATTTCACGGACTTTAAAAAGGTTAATTGTGTTGTACTCTTGGTTTTACTCAGAGCCAAAGATCTGAGCTACATATACTGCCCACCACGAAAAGTAATTGTTGAGTATTTCAGTCATGCTTGTTAAGAGCCGATGTAAAATAACATACAGTAAATCTACATTTGTATTCTTTAAGTTACGTCACATTTTAAAATGTGAATGATAGTGTGATTAATTCTTAACAAGTTAGTGTAGAATATCCTGCTTGTGAAATAAAATTTGGCATCATTATTATTCATGCATGTTCTCCCATCATTTCTAAAGTGAATGCTGAGCTTTGCTTGTGTGCGCAGCTTTTCAAACTGGAGACAGACGGACACTCGGACAGACACCACGTTTCGTAATATATATATATAAGAATAACAATAGAACGCTCAAATTGTGTAAATATAATCCAGTTCGATAAATGTTACCATGTGACAGAATAATATTTAACAAATAACCTTCTTCCTATATTATTTACTCTCAAAGAAACATTATACTAGTGTTAAAAGCTTAGAGTGGAAAGTTTGTAGAATAACTCGTATGGTTTCCTCTTGGCTGTTATTCTGTATCATAAAAATAGAGGCCTCCAACCAAAATGCCAGTAATGGCTCATTAATGTGAATCATTACCATCACAGTGTGATTATTTATAATGAAAAATAAGGTTTAGAATAATATCTTGCACGATAAGTGTTGGAACGGACGATTTATAATAATTTAAATAAATTGAATATAAACTTGATTCACTCACAACCCCATGTTGAACGATATCGTGATCGAACAAGCACGATGAAAAACCTGACTTTAGAGTTAGAACTAATTCAGTAATGAAATCAGTCGTTATGGTCATTTTTCTTTTCTAACACTACAAAACTTTAATGCAGTTGGAAGTTTGCACCAGCCAATATAAGCTTACCTGTATAGTAAGTGAGACAATCTTTGACGTTGTCTTGTTGGAGGATTAAAACAGCTTAGAGTGGAAGAGATTTCTCTAAATGTTTCCACTAGAATGTTCTGTTCAATATGATGAACCGCTTTGGTCAGAATTCTGACGGCTGCTCTGACTCTGTGTCGGTTGACAGTAAAAGATCGAAGACGAATAGCTAGTAGACCTGGTGGGAAGCTGTTAACTGGACCCTCTGTTATGTGGACAGACTGCTCTAATACAATCCACATCCACTCGCCACTCAACAAATTCAACTCGCCAGCAATTTCAAAGACTTTTTCGGCTAATTCTTTATCACAGTGTAGCAGAATCACACGACTAAAGCTTTTGACAACATCACTAAGTCTGTTTAAAATTTCATCTTTGCTTAATTTGTTTTGAAGGCGGATAACAAACAAAGGGCGCCACAATGGGCGCTTCATGAGGTTACCTAGACGACGGACTAAAGAAGAACTTGTTTCACTGTCATCAGCAACTAAAACCACGTCATACCACTTACTAGAGTTTAATAGTTGGAAGACACCATCTGTTAGGTCTGTGACCACAGGATCTAGGCTCAGGTACATGGGGTTAACATCCTGAAATAATAGAAAAAGTAAATGTAGAACACTTGAAATAACAGATATTACAAAGGTTCTTTAAAAAGCGTCGATCTTGGATAGTTGGTAATTTAACGTTTTTACTCTAGATTTTATAAAATAGTGTTTAAAGTACAAGTGATGTACAACTGACCCTTGAGATTACGAGGTTGTTTATGGTTCTGTCTCAAAGTAATATATTGTCATTTTTCGTTTCCTTGTAAGTCATAGTCATACTGATGATTAAGCCTTTGTTTTAGAATTTTTGCGTAAAGTTACACAACGACTATCTACGTATAGCAACCCCTAATACTGAGCTGATAGATTATAGAGAAAGCAACTAGTCAACAGCACCCTCCACTAACCCTTGGGCTACTCTTGTTTGGTCAAGTAGTGTGATTTGACAAGGTGCCACAAAAAAGGTTTGTAAAATAAAATATCTCTTTAGATATTGTGGATAAGTTAGCTAGTTGAATAGAAAAGTGGATGGATGGAAGAAAGCAGAGAGTTGTTATAAATGGAATTCCATCAAACTGGATTAATGTCACAAGTTGGGTACCTCATGACTCAGTCTTGGGACTTTGGCTCTTCTTGATTTACATCAATGACATAGATGAAGGAATGGTCAATAAATTACATCAAGTTGCTTATTATATCAAGGTCTTGGGTGTTGATGGCTGTGAGGAGGATGCTGCCTTTTACAAAAGGATTTAGGTCATTTAGTGAGTTGGGCAAATATATGGCAGATTGATTTTAATTATAATAAATGTAAGATAGACATGCGGGTTATCATAATTTGAATTAAAGGTATAATTCGGATGACAATAACCTTAACAGTGTTATGAAAGAATGGGATCTTTGTGTAATGGTTGATCAGTCTCTTAAAGCATCCAGGCAGTGTGCTGTTACTAGTGGTAGGGCAAATATAATTTTAGGTTGTATCCACAGAAATACTGAATACATGCCTAAAGAGGTTATAATTTCTCTGTATAGGCCACCGGTTAGGCCACATTTGGAGTATTGTGTTTAGTCTTGGGGTCCTTGCCTCAGGAAGGACATTGAATTGTTGGAAAGGATTCTGTGGAGGGCTACTAGAATGGTGCACCCGCCAGTGGCACCACGGTATGTTTGCGGATTTACAACGCTATAAATCGGGTTTTTATACTCGTGGTGGGTAGAGCACAGATAGCCCGTTGTGTAGCATTGTGGTTAACTTCAAATAAACAACAGAATGGGATGGAGGAGTTGTCCTACAAGAAAAGGTTAAGATTTCTGAAATTGTTTTCTCTTGAAAGAAGAACAGTTAGAGGGGATCTGATTGAGGCATTTAAAATTCTTAAGGGAATTAATAGTACTGATGAAACATCTTGTTGTCCCTAAACATTATGTTATGTACACACGACTTCGAAATGTTGCGGGAACTGGATGCGAACAACGATCCATACTAATAACACAGGCCTGCGAATTTATAAAACTTACTAACGGATTTTTCATAGTTCAGCTACGCAGGTTTTAAAATAATATTCATGTTTTTCTATTACGTGAGTATTTTTTACTAATCGGGAAGAAATAACTCTTACTTAGATCAAAGTATTATTTCATTTACCACAATGGGCATTTTTTATTATTATGTTTGTTAACAAAAATACAAACAAACTGAAGGAACGGGAAGAACATCGATGTCAAACGAATATATAGCCTCATTCATCCTGATTTCTTTTTATGAAATCTACGTCTTTTAGTCTCAAAACTACGTGTTGTGGTCTTTCTTTTATATTGCACTATGACGTTTTGTGAAAAATCTGTACGTGATAGAGACAAAATGGATATTATTTTCATATTCAGCGTACAGGAGTTGCTGTAGAACATGTAAACATTTCAAGACAATAAAACTATCGCAGGCCTGTGTAATTTAATGACTGAAGAGACATGTTTGGTACAACGCTGAATGGAGATATACAAGTTGATTATATATATATATAACACGGGTGTAAACGACAATACAGTGGTAGAACGGACGTGTAATGCTGAGGAAAATGAGTTCTAGTGAGACATGAGCCTAAATTATTGCTCAATATGTGTATGACAAAGCTGACCTTCCAGCTTCACCTGTTAAATCACGAACAGTGAAATAACTAATGCTCTTTACCAAAATATACTGATTAGTTACTATTACAGGTACTCGTTAAATACTGCATTCGTTTAGCCAACTTCAAATAATATTCTATTCCGTATATTCATGCTATTAACTTTAACTGTATCCTGTGTGTACTTGTTTCGAAGTTTCAATTATACTTGGCACCCAACTGGTAAAACAATATATTCTAGATTTTATAAATAAGAATATATTTAATTAGTTAGATTTGTTACAGGGCTGATTTTTAGTTCGGAAAAATGAATAATAATTGGGTACATAATTATGGGAAATACAATTATGTGTGTGTTTCCATGTGCATCTTAATACATGATTAGAGAAAGAAAAAGAAACAGGTTTTTGGTTTGGATTATTTGGTTTCAATTCGTGTTATTGGTTAGTAGAGAAAGATGTTATAATACTGAAGTAGTGTAGAGCCAGTAACTTTTGTTTACTACATAATAACACACAGTTAACTTGTATCTGTTGACATAAACATTGGGTCTATCATAAAATATAAAAATTTAAAACCGCAGTATCGTAAATAATTTCCCCAAAATACTCCCATTATTTAAGTTATACAAACAAAGATTTAAGGCAAAGTAAATTTAATTTCACATTGAAATTTTAGTATACGAGATTATCATCAGACGGCGTGAATTAGTGATTAGACTACTTAACTGTTTTATGGACAGCGTTGACAGAAACAAATAGTTTGAGAGTTTTGATGTTCTGAATTGTATCGACCAAAGACACCTCATATACTACATTAGTTAATAACTTATGACTACAGGACCTTTCTGCGGTTTAAAGTCAAACTTTTTGTATTTTGATACCCTTATAGTAAGTTTGGTCTTAAAACGTTCCAGTTTGTGTAGAAAAACTTATTCACTTATTTACCAACTCTATCGTATGAGATGTGTTATAGTTCATTTTCTATACATATATGTGAAAGTCTGTATATACTACACTAAATAGTTTACTTTTCTAGCCACCAGTGGCACAGCGGTATGTCTGCTGACTTCCAACACTAGAAACCGGGTTTCGATATTCGTGGTGGGCACAGCACAGATAGCCCATTGTATAGCTTTGTACTTAACTACAAACACACACACACACAACCATCTTACTTTCTATGTACCACTGTTTCAAGCTCGTGAAAACTAGTAAATAATATTTAGTTTTCATACAAGGCTTAATTCTAATCTTATATGAAAGAATACAAATGAAAACTTGTAGTTCATACCTGTAAACTTCAAATGCGATATACTACATTTAATTTTTATCTCAATAATATGTGCATACAATGTTAATGATCATTATGTTTATATGTTTTCAAAAACATTTTCTATAGAGTCCATCGATCGTAAAATTCAAGTTTAGATTATTTGTGTGAAAACAGACTTAAAATACGGTTTGTTTAGAAATTCGAACACTTTACTTTTCAAACGATAATATAAAATCAAATCGTTCACTGTTATATCAGAGTTGTTATGTTAAGTTTATTGGTATAAAAACTTAGTTTTATTACGATAATTTATATCATTAGTTATTTTAAGATTGATTTATATATTGTTACTAGTTTTTGACACCGTATATAACTCACATGATCAGTGATGTTGCGTCCATTTAACAACAAAGACTAACAACACAAGCTAACGTAAGAATTAGTATTTTCCACACCTTGTATACATATGGACTAAACAGCCAGGTCTAAATTTCCTATAATTCAGGTATAAGCGTCCTTAATTTTGAGCCTCTGATCAGAGGGGTCCCCTGGTGGGATAGCGGTAAGTCTTCTGATTTACAACGCTAAAATCAGAGGTTCGACTTCCCCTATGTGGACACAGCAGATTGCCCGATGTGGTTTTGATATAACAAAACATGCGCACGCACACTGATCAGAGGGAAGATGGCCAGTCAGCAACTCCAGCTTGTCCAGCTTTGTGTACTCAATAAAGGGACTGACTGCTACTTTTATAACGTGCCCACAGCTGAAAGTGCGAAGCGTGTTCAGGTGCATCACATCTTGAACCCAAATCCCTTTGATCCGCAGTCAGACATGTTAACCACTAGGCTACCCCCGGCACACATGCGAAGGTAATTTATGGTTGATATTAGCTTAGTTCTAACATCTGATTTTTTATTAGTTATCTGGCTTACTTAGCTATTTCTAGCATCTGATTTTTTATTAGTTATCTGGCTTACTTAGTTATTTTTAACATCTGATTTTTGGATTAGTTATCTGGCTTACTTAGCTATTTCTAACATCTGATTTTTGATTAGTTATCTGGCTTACTTAGCTATTTCTAACATTTGATTAGTTATGTAGATTACTTAGTTATTTCTAACATCTGATTTTTGGATTAGTTATCTGGCTTACTTAGCTATTTCTAACATCTGATTTTTGATTACTTATCTGGCTTACTTAGCTATTTCTAACTCCAGCACTAAAGATCTTATACATATATAAATTTGCACTTGCTAAACATGCACATTTTTATAGTAATTGCTAAATAAAAAATATTTTTCCCTGCTAAGAGTAAGTACTCTTTGTATATAGTACCGTACAAGATATAAACATTAATTCTTAATTACCTTAATAATGAACAAAATAATTCAAAGTTAAAAAACAAATGAGTTTCTTGACCTTTCACCTTACAAGCTGCTTGGATTTTACGTTTCTGCAAATCAATACTTGCACTAAAACGTTTATAAAGGTTAATTTATTCTTGCATAGCCATGACCAATATGGATTAACATTCTCCAACCACCACAAAAACAAATGGTTTTCATCTATGTGGTCCATTTGATTTTCACGATCAATCATCCTGTTTTAATATCAAAATAGATAGGTTCATT